TTAACATATATCTACCTTAATTTATGTTTATTTTTTATATTTGTTGACAAATATCACCAGCACCTTCACTATCTGCACCTTGTCAAAGGACTGCACAAATACCAATTCACACATTCACTGTCTGCTCTTTTCATAAACTTCCATGATGAATATTACAGAATCTTACATTATCAAACTATCTTATAGACCAGTGGTGAGACCTCAATCCAATAAAAGTATGGGTGAGAGAAAAGTATCAGATGTGCCTTCGCGTAGTTATACAAACCACACCAAATCACTACATTAGAATGATTTCTGAAGGACCAGGTAATACTGTAGACTGTAGTAATGACTGCTGAAAATTCAGCCTTGCCATCAAAGGAATAAGTTACTGTACATTTAAAATACATAAATTAGTCCTTTGAGACAATATATAGGCTATGTGAACTTTCTCTCCTGACTGCTGTAATTCATCTATCTTTTTTTCCTCTTTTGTAAAGTCTTTCTGTGTAATGGTTTAGTAAACAGGAAGTAACTGACCAACACATGATTGGTGTTTAGTAATGAAAATGCATTTTTGACTGAATTGATGCGTGCGAGTGAATTATTCAGTTAATTACTCAAAAAGCCAGTCACTTGATGCCATCTACTTGTGCAACAATATAACCTGCAGTAAGAGAAACTGAAAAATCCCTGTCTCTAATGTGCACAAATTGACAGTTTGTTTGGAACAAACACAGACAAAGTACAAACAGTGAAAAATCCCAGTGGACTAAATACAGTATATCTTGGAACATTGCTCAGATTCAAAGTGACTTATGTATATTCATATTTATAATTATGAATTCAGATTTACAATTCATATTTTCAGATTTCTAACCTATTTTCATATGCATTCTTATCTCTGGCTCTGAACATAGACATGTTCATTACTCTTGCAATTTAATTATCATTTATTAGATATTTCTTGCCTTTAATCTAGCAGAGTGCTCTTCTTGCAGTATTGCACCATTAATACAGTTTGCTTTGAGAAGAGCAGTACAATTTAATATGATTTGATCATCCTCTGGATTAAAGATCATATGCTGACCTCTGCAGGATGATATGAGCAACTTTAGTACTGTTTTTATACTCTATTTACAGCAGCAGATGGCATGATGATGCATTCAATCCCTGATATATTCCGTTACGTCACCATTGTAGTCTGATTATGCAATCATGAGCAATAAAGTGCTTAAAATGTTACTTTTGATTAGTTTAGCATGTCTTATTGACACATTGGAACAATTAATCATTATTTTAGTAAATTATCATAGAACACTGTTACTTACCACTAAGAGAAAAAGCCACTAATCAAAATGTTCAGTTTTTGAATTCTTTTGAATTGAAAGGATGCTGTACGTAATGTTTAGAACGATTGAGATGTTTTATAATCACTCAACTACACAATTAAAACTGTGCTCTGACTGAAAATAATTTAGTTATTAGAGTCTCTATATGGCACTTGTTACAATATTGCAGTTGTTTTATTAACAGTATCTTAAAGAGAGGAAACATGGTGCAGTGCTTCACAAACTGCAATATTATAAGCATTTCTGTTCATTTCTTTTACATCTAGGCTGTTTGTTGAGTCTTTAAGTTAAATAGAAGTTGTTAATTACGAATACATTTGTGTAATGTAGTTTTACATGATTTTGAGAAAATATAAACATTGCTATGGCATTATAATAGAATTGCAGTACTGAATTTCTTTAGCTGAAACTTTTATAGATAGTGGCATCAGGTGTTTTATTGCAGTTATTCATTTACTTGGAATTGCTTATGAAAATACAGATGCATATAGAACACTTTTGAAGAATGTTTTTTCAGGAAAAACTGAACACTGGAAAGGGCAACAACATGAGTGCAGCACTGGTTTTGTGAGGATCAGTTTGGCTTTAAGAATTCTGAATATTGAATCAGTATCACTGTAAAAAATGATTGTGATTTTAACAGTAAAAGACTGTAAAAATGCTACAGTAAAAACCTGTTAACTGGTTAACAGTAAGTTTCCATACTATATTCGGTGAATAAATGTAATTACATTTAATGTATTAGATTAATTAGAGGTGTATTTGACATTAATTTAACATTTTTTTATTTATCATAAATCTTTTTCATAACTGTTTCATGGGGGGGAAAAAGAATAAACAAATCATTCAGAATTATTTTGCTAATACATTTTTTTTTGGAAGATTTTTGTGAATGTCTGTTGCTTAAACATTGAACAGATACAGTTCTTGTCATCTCTCTATACTCTGATGATTGTTTGATGAGGATGTGGGAGGGGTCGGCAAACTGTCATAGAGACATTTTTAGGTGGATGCATCTGCACCTGCCCAAATTCTCAGTAATCACAGAAATAGCAACATAGACTGTATACAGATAGACATAAAAAACAACATGTGCAAGAGAATGATGAAAAATAAAGATAAAATGGGGGTTTGGGGGAAGAGTGGGGGGAAAGAGAGAAGGATATTTTTTTGTTTTTGTATAATGTTTTAGCACCGTGGGGACAGGGGGCCACGGTGATACAATCCCATAGAGCCGCTGTACAAAAACCTCCCTCCATATACAGTCAATTAGACAGAGACAAATAGTACAAACACTGCAAACACTGCTATGGATTTCAACATTACATATAGTAGATATCTAGGAGAGGAAGATCACTAATGTTTTGAGCAATTTTTGCATTTTTTATATATTTAAACACATTTTATCAGTGGTAAATACATGTGTGGATACTTAAGGTTGGACCTGACTGGAGAATTTGATAATTTTCCTTTCAATCAATGCATATTTTGGATTGTCATGGTTTTAAATTGAACAGCCTCCTGGGAGACAACTATTATGGAATTAACAGACTTTATATAATCATGGAAAAAAAAGGAATTCTAATGCACATTTCAGAGTACTCTGAAACAATGTGCCTCTGGTTTGCAAGCATACTTCGGAAATGGAACGAAACTGACAGTTTTAGGTAAGTTTACTTTAATTTAGGTATATATTTATATTATATATTACGTTTATAGCTTTTTTTAAAGCTCATATCTTTTGATATTCTATTTTAACTAAACTATGACAGCAGTAAGGAAGGGGCCTCCAAATCAGACCCAAATGTTTCAAATAATTTGTACCATACCTTGTGTCGTAAATTTGCGCATACCATCTCACTGTGACAATGCTTATCAAGCACACTTTGGAAATGGAACAAAATTAACAGTTCTAGGTAAGAAACACTTTTAACTACACTAATATGTAGGCCTACATGGGAATATTAGACAATTAACAAAAACATTCGTTGAGCTCAAGTGGCTGATGGTTGTCCATTAAGGATAAACTATGCTAAAGTATTGTGGAAAAATACAGTGCAATTTCAATATTCGATTAGAGACCCTTTTTGACATGACAGTCGTATGCTGTGCCAATTATCAAGCCTATTTCGGTAACGGCACCAAATTAGCAGTTCTTGGTAAGTACTACTTCTGCTTCAGTTGGAAACCTTGATGAATATACTGTGCAACTGTTTTATAAGTTGATAATTTCAAGCAACATGATTAAAAACATAAAATGTGTCATTTGAGACAACAGAGAATGCAAATGTATCACAGAACTAAATGTAGTGTAGATTTAGTTAACTGTAAGGGTTATGAAGTTCAAGTAATTTTATCAGTGAGCCTGCATGATGTGCTTTGGAACCAGCCAGGCTATCTTTGGTGAGGGGACAAGATTGACTGTTCTAGGTAAGTACAATATTTTTGTAAGTGTAAAAGACGAATTAAATGCAAGGAATGTGTTTGCTACATGCAATTACCAATGGGAATTACATAATATAGTTGAGTAAGGTTGTGTGAGACAGAAGTTTGTGATACTGTCTTGATACTCTGTGCTCAAACACGCCAGCGTATTTTGGAAACGGCACCAAACTTACTGTTTTAGGTAAGACAAACAATGATTCTGATTATAAATCTTGTATAAATATTAAGTGGAATGACGCAAAAGCATCAGCAATGGTTGGCAAAGTAATATCTTTATTATGTCTAGTGACTGCTGTTTTGCTCAAATTCAGCTCTTGGCTTGTTTGCGACGTTCTACACCATCCAAGATTTGCTAAATATTGATAGCCAGTGTGTTTGTAACATTTTTTCTATTGAGCATGTTACCTTTATTATAGCCAGTGTGGTTTAGATGCAGTTAGTATGAAATCTTTAGTTTTTTACAGTCATTTGACATCAGTGTAATCAGTACAGTTCTGCACACTTTGGCAGTGGGACTAAACTTACAGTGACAGGTGAGACATTTTTGACTGAATTTGCTGGATAAATATTATTAGGTGCTGACGTTTGTGGATAATTCTTTTGGAAATAAGTCTGTAACAAGCCACTGATCAGTGTCCAGACCTGGCAGATATCCTAGACATTTTATTAGTGCTTATGTGTGCTGTGTCAACTACTGCTCAGGCTCATTTTGGCGAAGGAACAAAGTTGACTGTACTTGGTAAGAAACACATTTCATATGGTTTAAATGGCAATGCTTAATTAAATATTGCTAATTACATGCATTCTGATGGTAATTTCTGACTCAAAATTCTTTATTTAATTTGAAAAGTAACGTTTGTATTGTGGAATTAGTGATGGCATATAGATGGTATTAAGAGTAGAGGAAGTTTTATCTGTAGCATAGAATCAGTGTGAACAACTACGACCCTGCATACTTTGGTAATGGCACCAAACTCACAGTACTCGGTAAGACACATTTTGACTTTATTTTGCATGGTCTTCTGCATCATAGCAAGAAAACTAAGAAAAATGTCTAAGTTCAGGGATATCATTTGACACTGGGATTTAGAAAACATCTTCCTCAGCATAGATAAAATGGCTAAGCATTTCTGAAGCCTCAATGTTTAGACAAACTGCAAGACTTAAGTCCATAAAGTCGGAGTAATTTTATTAGTGCATATGTATGCTGTGACTCTGGCGGAGGTCAAGCTTTCTTCGGCAATGGAACAAAGTTAACAGTTCTTGGTAAGACATAAAACAAAAGTAATATTACTAAGCTGACCTTTACAAAAATGTTTAAAAAATACTATTATTTTGTAATGTATGCTTAGTAGTTCAACTAAGATAGGATGTTTTCTTATTCTTAACACTTATTCGAGTTAGACAGCATGCTTAGGCAATTGATTGTCAATTGCCATAGTGTTGTGTTCCAAGTTAGTAAAAACAAAAACAGATAAATATGTAGGAAAGATCTTGAGGAGGTTTCATCTGTAGCATAGAATCAGTGTGATCAGTACAACCCTGCATACTTTGGCAATGGCACTAAACTTACGGTTCTAGGTGAGTAAATTGAGTATATTGATGTTTAGACCTAATGAAATGTTATTTGTTAAGTACACTATTTAGAGTTTTCAAAATAATGTTCTATGTGCATGACATAGGCTTTAGCATTTGCTGTTTTGAGTAAATTTGTTAGTACACATGTGCACTGTGACGCTGGTGCTTCTCAGGCTTACTTTGGCAATGGAACAAAGTTAACTGTACTAGGTAAGAAAAATCTTTTTTTTTTTAATTATGTCAGATAATTTGAGTGGGAAAGTCTACATGATCTTGACTATAGCTGAGGTTTTAACTGTAGCTTAGTATCAGTGTGAACACTGGCAGTGTTGCATACTTTGGCAATGGCACTAAATTTACAGTTCTAGGTGAGCAATTTGAGTATTTTGTGTGATATGTAAATCAGAATATTGCAGAAATGTAGCAATGTGATGTTCAGTTATTTATCGATTTTAATATGCAACCTCAATTATGCTGCTCGTGTTTTATATTTATGAAATGATGCAAATAAGCACACTAAGAATGAGTAATCTAAGTAAATTAGCTCAATATAATCAAGCAGCATTCATGGGGCATTTGAGTTAAAAAAAATGCCTTGGATTTGGCATCCTGAGTGAATTTGTCAGTGCCCATGTATGCTGTGCTCTGGTACTTATCCAGCTTACTTCGGCAATAGAACCAAGCTCACTGTTCTAGGTAAGTATATAAAAAAATGTTCATGCTATTTCATTGATTGCCACAGACATGCCTATACTAGACAGTACAACACAATGTGCTGAATTATGTCAAATAGAGGTTAGTAACAATTTACTGTAAACGTTGCTGTGTGAAATCTAAAATTCTATTACATTGAAATTAGCTGAATTGGAACACTTCTCAGTAATATTGAGACAATCTTTCTTTAAAAGCTAGACATATTGAGGTAAGTAGAATCATTTATGATTTTGACTATCTGAGGTATTAACTGTTGCATAGAATCAGTGTGACCATGGGTAGTGCAGCATACTTTGGTAACGGAACTAAGCTTACTGTCCTAGGTAAGTAATTTGCATAATATTTCTGAACTTACTAGGATATTTAGGAACACATTCTGCTCATCTGATGTTCAGGTCTAAAAGGAGATTATTTTTCAAAATGATTTTGTTTTGTTGTATATCTCTCTGATGTATCACTATATTGTAAATCATTGTACTAAAATAATCGTTCTATAGTAGATATTCACAGAACATTCGAGTAAAAACCTGTGCTAGGGCTTTAGCATTTGGTGTCTTGGGTAAATTTGTTAGTGCACATGTATGCTGTGACACTGGTCTTAGTCAGGCTTATTTCGGCAATGGAACAAAGTTAACTGTACTAGGTAAGAAAAATCTAATTTCCATACAGTAATTATGTTAGATGATGAGTGGCAAAGTCTATATGATCTCGACTGTAGCTGAGGTTTTAACTGTAGCTTAGTATCAATGTGAACACTGCCAGTCCTGCATACTTTGGCAATGGCACTAAACTTACAGTTCTAGGTGAGTAATTTCAGTATTCTGTGTTATATGCAAAACCTTAGATATACAGAAATGTAGCTATGCAATGTTCTGTTATTTATTGACTTTAATATGCAATGAATCTTCTAAGTTATGATGTTTGAGTGTTACATTTATGAAATGACTGAAATGAGCAGACTTGCCATAAGTAATCTCGGTAAATTAGTTGGATGTAGTCGAGCAGCATTCATGGGCCATTTAAGCTAAAAAAAAAGGGACTTGAATTTGGCACCCTGAGTGAATTTGTTAGTGCAGATGTGTGCTGTGACACTGGTGGTAGTTATCCAGCTTATTTCGGCAATGGAACGAAGCTCACTGTTCTGGGTAAGAATATTCAAAAATGCTCATGCTATTTCATTGATTGCCAATTACATCCTTATGCAAGACAAGGCGCAATGCACATGTGACAAACTGAAGTCAATAAAAAATAGAATGTTGCTCTATGATATCTAAAATAATATTAAATTGACTTTAATCGAACCGGAATACTTCTCAGTGACCTTTAGATAAGCATTCTTTAAAATTAAGTTAGATGTATTGAGGTACAGTAAATAAAATCATTTATGATGTTGACTATTTGAGGTATTAACTGTTGCATAGAATCAGTGTGAACATGGCTAGTGGAGCACACTTTGGTAACGGTACTAAACTAACAGTCCTAGGTGAGTAATTTGGATAATATTCATAAATTTTCTAGGATATTTAGGAACACATCTTGCTTATCTGATGTTCAGGTCTAAAAATTTAAATTTTTGAGAGTTTTAAAAATTATATTTCTTTTTTGCATATCTCTCTGATATATAAATCACTAAATTACTACTCATTGTACTAAAATAATTTTTCTATAGTAGATAATTTTTGTGATATTCACAGGACATTCAAGTAAAAACCTATGCTAGGGCTTTAGCAATTGGTGTCTTGGGTAAATTTGTTAGTGCACATGTATGCTGTGACACTGGTGCTGGCCAGGCTTATTTCGGCAATGGAACAAAGTTAACTGTACTGGGTAAGAAACAACAAACTCTTCCACACTGTTTAATTGATTGATATTGATAACATTGGATGTCATTAACAAAAGTTAAATTGCCATATGACATCAAAAATTGATGAATTGGTATTGGATGAACTAGCAGTTCTCGAGAATTTTATTATGTCTTAAAATTAGGTTAGATGTAGTGGGATAAGTGGAACTGTTTCTATGAATCCAGCTGCAGCTGAGGCTTTAACTGTAGCTTAGAATCAGTGTGACCTCTGGCAATCCTGCATACTTTGGCAATGGCACTAAACTTACAGTTCTAGGTGAGTAATTTGAACATTATGTGTGAATTGTAAAGCTTATTATTTTTTATATGTTATCTAAGATCGTGGAGTAGGTCTAGTCTTTAAGAAATAGATATACTGGGATACGTGGCAGTGTTCACATGCTCTGCAGTATACTTGAGGTTTTAACTGTAGCTTAGAATCAGTGTGAACTCTGGATATCCTGCATACTTTGGCAATGGCACTAAACTTACAGTTCTAGGTGAGTCATTTGAATAGGCCTATTGTGTGTGAATGATAAAGCTTAAATATGTTATCTAAGATTGTGGAATAGGTCTAGTCTTTGGAAATGTAACTAGGATACGTGGCAGTGTTCACATGCTCTGCAGTATACTTGAGGTTTTAACTGTAGCTTAGAATCAGTGTGAACAATCTTAGTCCTGCACACTTTGGCAATGGCACCAAACTAACAGTTCTAGGTGAGTAATTTAAATATTATGTTTGATCTTCATAACCTAATATTTTAAAAGGATATCTGCAATTTTGGTGTTCTCGTGAAAAAAAAAACGGAAAATGCAGTCTTAAAAATTAAGTTTGATAAAGTGGGATAAGTGGCAATGTTCACATGCTCTCCAGTATAGCTGAGGTTTTAATTGTAGCTTAGAATCATTGTGAACAATCGCAGCCCTGCATACTTTGGCAATGGCACTAAACTTACAGTTCTAGGTGAGTAAATTGAGTAATCTGATATTTAATCATTTTAACGAATTTGATTAGATTATCTAAAATGATGGTGAATTGAAAGACTTGGACTAGCTAATCCAACTTTTACAAAAAAATAAATAAATAGTTTAATAAGTGGCAATATTTACATGCATCTGCATTGTAGCTCAGGGTTTTAACTGTAGCTTAAAATCAGTGTGAACAATGCCAACCCAGCATACTTTGGCAATGGCACTAAACTTACAGTTCTAGGTGAGTAAATGGAGCATTCTGCTCTTTAAAAAAACTCTAATGATTTTGATATTGCATAGTATAAATAGTATATTTAAAATAAAGGTGTCAATTAACTGGAGTAAATAAATTGTCTTTAGGAATAGAGTTAAATATAGTAGGATAATGTTCTCATGATCTCCACTATAGTTGAGGTTTTAACTGTAGCTTAGAATCAGTGTGAACTATGGCAATCCTGCATACTTTGGCAATGGCACTAAACTTACAGTTCTAGGTAAGAAAATTTGCTTGCTTGTGTTTTTGGTATTTCCAAGAATGTGTGTGTAAAAATGTGACAAAGTCCTTTTTTTCTTAATCAAAACTGTACTAAGTGAATTGTGTATGTTGATATGAATTAATCAGAGATACTGGCATAAAAGTAAGACATTGTCACTGTTCTGAGAACATTAAGTGTTAAAAACAGTGCTGAGTTTACTATGGCAATCCTGCATACTTTGGCAATGGCACTAAACTTACAGTTCTAGGTAAGAAAATTTGCTTGCTTGTGTTTTTGGTATTTTATCAGTTTGTAAGTTCCAAGAATGTGTGTGTAAAAATGTGACAAAGTCCTTTTTTGTATGGAATTGTGTATGTTGATATGAATTAATCAGAGATACTGGCATAAAAGTAAGACATTGTCACTGTTCTGAGAACATTAAGTGTTAAAAACAGTGCTGAGTTTGAAATCTGGTTTTGAAGTACCAGAATTAGAAAATTGTGAAAATTGGTTTAGAAAATAGTCTGCCTTAAGACAAGCTCTTGCCTTACTATGACTAAAATTGTTCATAATATTTAATATGGTGATATGCAAGCCTGTTGTTTTTCTGAAAAAAAAAAAGTACTAAATTCATTGTGGTACTGATTAATATGCATGAATATGACACTCAAATTGTTGTTTTTCTGAAATTTTTTTTTTTACTAAATTCATTGTGGTACTGATTAATATGCATGAATATGACACTCAAATGTCAATGGTCTATAGCATTGCATAAAATTAGTATTTTGAGTGTCATATTCATGCATTATAGAATGTAATCAGGTTAAAGTGATAGGAAGAGTTTTACTGTAGCTGTTGAACAGTGTGAACAACAGACCTGCATACTTTGGCAATGGGACCAAACTTACTGTTCTGGGTAAGAAAGTAAATCCATTTTATTAATTTTTTTGATAACACTTTAGTTTAGTGACCAATTCTCACTATTAACTAGTTGCTTATTAGCATGGATAATACTAGCATATTGAGTTTTTATTAGTGCTTATAAAGCACATATTAATGTCTTATTCTGCATGATCATATTTTACATCTCTGAATCCTACCCCACACAAACTTAACAACTACCTTACTAAATGTTAATAAGCAGCAAAATAGGAGTTTCTTGAGGCAAGAGTTGTAGTTAATAGTTCGTTAATAGTGAGAATTGGACTTTAAAATCCAAAAAGTGTTACCTGATTTTTCCCTCCAATAACTGACTATATGATGTAGCTGTTCTTTAGAAATTCTTGCTGTTGTGCACTACATATAGTGATTTTATAAGCATGTAATATTGCTGATATACTTTATGCTTTATCAAGATTGTTGCTATGAGCTGCATATATGTAATCCTACCCTACACAAACTTAACAACTACCTTACTAACTGTTAATAAGCAGCAAAATAGGAGTTTCTTGAGGCAAGAGTTGTAGTTAATAGTTAGTTAATAGTGAGAATTGGACTTTAAAATCCAAAAAGTGTTACCTGATTTTTCCCTCCAATAACTGACTATATGATGTAGCTGTTCTTTAGAAACTCTTGCTGTTGTGCACTACATATAGTGATTTTATAAGCATGTAATATTGCTGATATACTTTATGCTTTATCAAGATTGTTGCTATGAGCTGCATATATGGAAAGGTGGCTAGTACAGATAAACTAGTTGTATGTGGTTTTCCTGTTGAAGAAGCAACTGTTCTTAGTAGGATTTTTGTATTGTGTAAAGAGGTTATAAAGGGTATTGTGAAATTTATTTTACAACAACAACAACAATAATAATAATACTAATAACAAAAATAGTCATTATCATCATCATCAACCTGCATAATTCTTCAGATTAAGTTTTAGCAGACTGAAATGTCATGGGAAAATGCTCTCCAAAATTGTTCATGTGTATGTTTATATTACTGTTTTGTTACATATGCTTATACTATTTATGCCATTTGTTTATATTATTTTACAGATCCTGATGTTGCCATCAATAAACCAGATGTAAAAATTCTAAATGAGACGCGCTGTAAGGAAAAGGTCACTCTTGTGTGTTTGGCTGAAAACTTCTACCCAGACCATGTGAGCATAAAATGGACAGTTGGTAGCAAAAACATAACAGAGGATGTAGCGACAGACCCTTATGCCACCCAAGACGAAAAAACGAAAATGTTCCGCATATCCAGCAGACTTAAAGTCCCTAAAAATGAATTCACACCAAAAAGCACATTCAAATGTACAGTGACCTTCTACAGAGCAACAGATGTTTCTGAGGACGAATCTGCTGAAATCACTGGAACTGGAGGTATTTCAATAGACATAAGTTGAAAGATGAAAAAAAGAAACTGCATATAGAATACAATGCATTTTGCAATGCATGCTTAAAGTAATTTTTATATTTTAATATTTGGGTCTTCTAATGAATTATTTTCTAATTACAGGGGGTGGATATGAACCAGGTAAGGGTTTGTTATTTTCTTTTTTTTTATGTCTATCTGCAAAAGATGAATTAGGGTCAAACGTTTATCAGTAATTATATGCTGAATAATATGCTATGATTTGATCTTTTAATCTCCAGAAGACTATTTAAAATCATCGAAGATGATGAAGCTGGCATACGGTGTGTTCATTGCTAAGAGTGCACTGTATGGCCTTGTCATCTTTGTGTTCGTGTTGAGAAAGGTAAGGATGATAAACTTGTAATTATAATCCATAATTTCAAACAGAAGAATGCTGGAAGAATATTAACAACATAAGCGTTAAATGTTTGATCACATGTATATGTTAGTACAATAGAAAAATCCACACATTATATGGATGTTATAGATAGATAAATAATGTTTTTTTCTTC